ACTAAGGAAATTTTGAATATGTCCCTACCAAACATATCAATAAAGTGGCTACGTAAGTGAGTTTTTGTTGGAAGCATAAGACAATTGCTTAAATCAATGTCAACATAAAAATTATAATTGGTTACTTCGTGATACAAGTAGTAAGCAATACATGAGGTGTGTATAATGTAATTCAAACATTGACTATTTTAAAGTGTACGTTCTAATCGTCCCTTATCGCAACCTTCAATAATAGAGCATATTTCTTTTCAAAAGGCCGGTAGTACACCTGCAGTTCCTCTGGTATTGCGGGTGCTCATGGGCGACGATAGTCTTTTACCATTAGCTGAGCTGCATGCTTGTTTGCCCCTTGTGTTATAAAACAAAACAAGAAAACTTTAAGTAAAGAAATACTAATGTCTATAGTTACCTGTAACGCTTTTATTTATCTTGCCAATCCTGTCAGAAAGCAGGGGTCTATTATGAGCGCTGAAAACCTGACAGTTTTATAGATCAAATTAAGCTGCACTAAAAGCGCAGATAGAATGATTTTTAACCAACTTCAAAAAGATAGAGATTCTCAGTTTTTTGTATTTTTTTCTATGTTTGTTAGCTCATAATTCAGTTAGTTCCATACCGATTTGGAATATTCTTTTTTTAGCTGAAAAGCTATACATACTTGCAGATTGATCCCATAGATATTTTATTGAAACCGATTCAGTAGTTTAGTTTTGAAATCAAATAATGTATTTTGCCACAACTGAAGTAGTTTTTTTTTTGTGGAACAATTTTTAATTATGTAGTCACGTAGTTTACGCGTGTCAAGTTTTGAAAGTTTTGTATTAGGCTCAATTTTATTATTGTATCTTTATCGCGGACATTATTTTTCAAATTTTGTATTATGGACAACATTTTATGTTGTATGATATTGTTAATTTCTTTGATTTTAATTATTATTAAATTAAATTATATATTGTATCTAAGGAAGACTGTTTATTATATACACATCTTACATCTAAGTACTATGAATATTAATAACAAGACTTAAATTTTTTTTAAAAATAAAAATAATATATTTGAGATCACTACCAACTGGTAGGGTACCTAAGAGAATTACTTCATTTTCACTCTGACTGGCTATGGAGATGCGTTCATCAAAGTAATACTTTAATTATAATTTGTTCTGTTGCAAAAACTAAAAATAGATGAACGGCCGGCGGCACCAGCTTGCGGGTGTACGGTCGGGTGGCGTGGCATCGGACTATCGGGCCAGATCACCTTCCACACAGCGATAACCTTAAAAGCACCACCAATATTAATACATCAAACACCCACGTGCGCGCGCATACATCACTGGCCACCGGCCACCGCGCGCCAGAGTAACTATAGTGCTACACCACGTACTGTATTGAAAACCCTACTGTACTTATTATGAATAGCAAATTAGTTGTTCTCTGATATAGATTCTACATTTTTTTTCTATATAAATTTATCTATTACAATGTACCAAACATTTAAGCACACATCTGAATTTTTTGCAACTTATTATAGTAAACCAGCTTACGGTCCATCTGATAGGTTTTTTTTTATACAACTTAGAATGGCAAACAAGTTGACGGTCTACCTGATGGAAAGTGGTAACCGTCGCCTATAGACATGAGCAGTACCATGGACATAACAGAGTATACTGTTTCGTCCATGATACCCCCCATGCGTTGCCATTCCTGAGGACTCAGGTGTTATCGCCTGAGGACTTTGTTTTTAATAGATGATAATGAAATGATAATATGTGCATACCTGATTCATTCTCACCTATCATCCCTCACTGGTGCCCCGCCAGTGTATACCGATAGCGCAGGCGGGATCAACCATTAAAAAAAAAAAACGCCCGCGGTTCTCTTAACGCGCTGCCAATTCTGAGGAATACGGTGGTATACCTCCGTATCCTGTAATTTCACTGCCGTATTTCAACTTTCAAAATGAAACACTATTATGCAAATTGCTTCATGATGATTCCATTCTAATCGTAGCGGTTACTGCTACCACAGTTTACATAATGTGACCCTAAAGAAATCTTTTCTGAAATGAGATATTAAATAAGTATATGACTCACTAAATGGGGGGGGGGGGAAGGGATTGTTAGCAATGGAGTTCGACATTGCTAGCAATATGCCCTATCAGGTCGACCTCCACGTTGTTCCCCCTGGAAACCATCGTGAACAATTCTCGTTGAATTCGTCACGATGAGCTAACTTACCTGCTTCATCCTCATCTATCATCCCTCACTGGTGCCCCGCCGGTGTATACCAATAGCGCGGGTGGGGTTACCATTCCATTATCACCCATAAAAAAAAGACCCACTAAATGGTGAACGATCATCGTATAAGCCGATTTACAGACGCTTGCAAAGCAAGGAATATTAGAGAGTGTTACAAATCCCATCACTTTGAACTACTTAGGTAGCAAATGAGCCTCCGACCTACCTGATGATAAGTGGTTACTGCAGCAGTTACGTGTATATTAAATAAACATAATCTTAAAAAAACAACATTTAACGTAATCAATGATAGTAAACATATTAAGGTACTGACTGGAGTTACCAACCCGCCTGCCAAGCGTGGCAACTATTTCCAAAGCTCCCCGTAGGGAGAGGCTTATTACCAGCAGTGGTCAGTTAATGGCCCATATGTATGTGAAAAGACAGGGGTATTATATAGTATTTACCTACGTGTGGCCAATCTTTCACTTGAGACATAACATTAATATAGGTATTTAAACATACTTGTAGGAATAATCCGTCTGAAGCAGAATGATTATTATCTACTTATTATATATAAATTTGACTTGATTAGAGAGAGACTGACTTTTTCAATTTTGAATATTTTTACGAGAAATATTGATATTTAAGAGATTTATTACAATAAAATTATAACTTTAACTAGTGAATTACTACGCTGTGCTTAAATACGGTCTTTATTGTAAGATAAAGCACTAAAAAAGACAATCCATTCAAGCGCTGATCTTACTCCGTCGCTTGATTAAGCAACGTGGTTATGTTGATTAAAACCAACCGGTGAGCACTTTTTTAAAACGCATTTAAAATACACATTTTAAAGATAATTTTATGGCTGTTAGAGAAGGAAAAAAAAAAGCATATAAATCGGGCACGCTTAGCTCATAAAAGAACATAAAAGCTTTTAACCACAGGTGGTTGGTCGGTTCCCATAGCTCTGTTCTGGGGCCATGTACACCGTGTACCATATATGGGACACGTGTTACATGGATCAATATCTTATCTCGCTGGCGCCGGCGGCTGCAAGGGACGTCTAGGGGATGATCCGCCACAGACCGGCGTTTTATTAACCGACTTCAACAAGGAGGTTCTCAATTCTGTTGTATATTTTTATTATGTTTGTTACCTCATAACTCCGTCAGTTGTTTTGAAAAACCGATTTGAAAAATTATTTTTTTATCTGAAAGAATATAGTTACAGATTTGTCTCATAGAAGTTTTATTAAAATCGGTTAAGTAGTTAAGTTTTTAAATTAAAATAACTGGTTTTGCTACAAGTCTTTTTTGGTGCAATAACATCAATATAGATGTCGATAGGAGACAAATGTGATGCTTATTCTGAGGTTTAAATAAAGAAGAAATGATGAAAGGTAACATATAAGAGCTGAAATTCTTAAAAATCTACGAAAATAGGAGGCTAACTAATGCCTTATGCATTAGTTCTTAGGAAAACGCATGAGAGGTATTTTCGGAGGTATTCTGTGGTATCCATAATGGTATGTATATTTACAACTTTTCGTCAGGTGAATCATTAATTATTTCCCGGTTCTAGTATAGCATAAAAATATTCCTTAATTGTACTATGAACTACTAAAATAATTCGTTGAAACGCCAGAAATAAACGCTGCGTCCAAAACGCGACTTCATAACACTGAACTGTTCTCTACAGTCTCACTTGCTGCGCGGTATGGTAGCAATTTGAGATAATACTTGTCTTTACAAATTGAACAAAAAATAAAACACGCAGAAGGAAGTGTAATATATTAAGTACACAATAAAGTAATTTAATTTATATTAATTATATTCATAAGTATTATAGATGAACAATCATATTAAAAACTAAATACAAGTGTTTGTGCAAATTATTAAAAGTTTTCGAAGAAGGTGACAAAAATGACAATTGAATAATATATATAAAAGCAATTTTATATTATTTGTCATATTTAATTTGTACTGAACAACTTGATAGACACTGTCCAAGTTACTTGTTTTATTTCTATCTGTTATTTTAGAGTTTTAGTTCTCAAAACTTTTTCTTTGTACCATTTATACTAATCTTTATCTCAGTTAGTATAGAATTTATTTGAACGTGACATTTAAATCCTTTTCCTCCATGTTCCACACACTTTATAAATATATTGTTAATCAAGAGTTATGCAGGTAGATATTTATTTTTATTAAACCCCTATGATAACGTTGAATATATACTTTCTAAGTCCCACAGACATACATACATTCAGTTCAAAGGAAGACTGTATAGTTTTTTTGTAGGTGAATAAAAGGAGTACAGTACAGAGGAAAAAAAAAAATAAAAATTGTAAATGCCACAAAAATAAAATGGGCGATGTGGCATTATATTAATAGGAAAAAATTATATAGACATAAAAAAAAACCTCTTCTCTAGACCGGGTGTGATTGTTAGTATCACGGAATCGTCATAATGGACTAACTGTCCTAACTTAGACCTCATCTATTATAATTTACTGTCGCCCCGTCAGCGTATATCATCAAAACCTATTCATCAAATAGATACCCCTGTTCTACTCGTATTTCCGATGAGCAACGTAATCCCTTAGTCCTCAAGAATGGCAACATATAAAGGTTTATAAGTGATCACTGACAGTATTCATCAGATAACACTTCCAGCTTGTTTACCATTCTAAAAAGTACGTATTGCCCTTATATTGCTAATTATATTAAAAAAGGTGGTGTATAAAATTATACGTCTGTTATATATTTATATTTATTTACAAAACAATAATAAAAATTTATAATACTTTGGCACATTTAGCTATAGGTATCTAAGAGTTTTAGCATTGCATAGTCATGCCCGAATTACAAATATTAATAATAATAGTAACAAAGTAACACTATAATACTCTTTGGTAATCAGTCTGACAGTAGAAAACTAAACTAGAACCTATCAACAAACGTAGTTTATAGGGAAATATTTCTTGTTTTCTTCATTATAAATTTCTTTTAATGTACCATCAATGTTTGAGGTATAGATATTCTTATTTTGTGCATATTGTATACCAGGACTTTCTCCACTTTCATTAATACCTAATTTACTACAATACTTATCTTCGATGTTGTCATCATAATTTATACTATCATCAAAATATATACTAGATGTCATTTCAACGTTGCTATTAAAGTTTTTCTCTAAATTAAGTTCAGCATCATATGTATCATAATTCGCTACATTCACTTCAGTGTGTCCATGCTTATAAAGTTTTCGGCCGCTATTTTTGCTTGGTTTAGCATCCGTCGACGTCGAAACTTCAGGGGACTTGATTCTTTTGCTCTTGTATCTTCTATTCTGAAACCAGATCTTCACTTGTGTGGGTGAAAGATTTAGTACCTTAGCCAGCTGTTCCCTTTCTGGTGCAGTCAAATATTTTTGAGCTCGGAACCTTATTTCCAGAGCGTGCACTTGACCATGTGAAAAAAGGATTCGGGGTTTTCTTTTCGCGTTTTTGTCTTTTCTTTCTGATTTACTATTATTGACAGGAGCCTCTGTTGACAAAAATAAATATGTGTTAAGCATGAAAAATTATTATTTAACTATAGTATTGTGTTTATAGTTATTGAAATTTAAATAAAGAAAACAACGATGAGTAAACAAAACCTCTTTTTCTAATATCAAATTATATTTTAATTCGTATTGATAACTGTTTTTAATAATTGTATTAAATATTTTATGATTATCTTCTAATATGTAAATATAATATTATATAAATATGTAATTATCTAAATATACATACTGTTGTGTTTTCGAGGCGATAAAGGAGACTTATTAAACGATTCTGTACTGGAATATGATATGTTCTCTAATTCTTGTATACTTCTATCATCATAACTTCTTTTTGTCGTTAAAATTGGTGTGACAGGGATAGGGGCTGCTTCTCTATCTATTTCCACTATAGAAGTTGCATCTGGCAGTATATGATGGGGGGGAGGTACTACTAATTCTGGATACTGTTCATAATTTTGATGATACAAATTATGACAGCCATACGGATTATAATTATAATAATCATCTATTTTAGGATCGTGGTAAATATCTTGGTTCCAATAATGTTCCACATTTGTATGAACAGGCACATTTGGATACATTTGATTGAAATAATCCGGGGGGCAATATGTCTGATTCTGATGATAAATTGGGTCGTACTCATAATTTTTTCGCTCTCTGTCGCTTTTCCATAGATCGTTTCGTTCGTAAGTAAAATTTTGTGGTTGGTTTATGTTCAAAATATCTTTTACAGAGAATGGAGTGTTCAAATTCTGTTGGTTTAATGCCGAGCCGTCTTCGAATTTTATTCGGTAATTAGCTTTTTGTTCATAACACGTATTTGGTAGTTCGTTCTTCTGTTTATCCAAAAATTCGTTTGCGTATTCATAATATCCATTTTTGCAGTCATTATAATCGTGCTTCAAGCTGTTATTATTATAAGAAGTAGATACTTCGTTGTGTTGCTCGAATTTATCCATTGCACTGGCACTTTTCACTATAAACCATTAGTTATTTTGATTAATTGTTTTGAGAGTGAATTAATGAACTTGTTGTTTAGGAGAGAGGCGATGGAAGACTGATGGTGTATAGATTATGAAACCAATCGACGGTGATTGGTGTGTTATGGGCGTGGCTATGGGTTTCATGCTGTCACTTACTCTCATGTTGAGTCTGGTGTCTTGCCGTCTCTGTCGGTGATTAGGGCTGTTTACTACGAAACGTAAATAAACCGTATGATTTCATGTGGGCGTTAAGAGTGATGTGCTCTTTGATTTTACTAATGACTCAGTAATTTGATTATTTTGAATCTGTGGCAAAGTTATAATTATGTATCGTCTTTTAATAAAGTACAATAGATTAATTGAAATTAATGATTTATAATAGATTTTTTAATATTTTTAAGAGGTAAAAAGTGTTTTTAAGAATTTATTATAAATACAGAATCTTTAATAAAAAAAAATTCTATTATCCTTATTTATATTAGAACTAAATATTTTAGTAAGTAGGTAAATTATGTTTTTACATTTTATATTTTTATAAAAAAGTTGTTACTTTTTTTATAAAATTAACACCAATTGTAACAAAATTATCTAATAAATTTAGAGACAGGTAAGGCGGAATATACTAACGGTTTCAAAAATTATCTTTCATAATAATTGGTAAATAAATTGCTTTATACAAAAAAAGATATCTAAATAACGCACTAATGAATCAAAATACTACTAATGAATGTGGTTATATACTTAATTAGATATTTAACCACATTCGCTGATTGATAGATATTTTAAGTATTATTCCCACATTTGTATATTGGTCGTGTATTTATTTTTGTGAGTCGAAGTGGTGTGAATATATTTGTTTATACTCGTATTGACCTGTCATCTCCTAATAATAATCATGAAAGTACTTACGTATGCCTTAGATGTGTATTTATTAAGTAGATATATTATATAACTATACCATGTGACTGGTTGCATTGATAACTATACCATGTGATGTGTTGCGTTGGGGAATGTTGCGTTGGTTATTTTTTTTATTTTATGGGTGAAGATGAAATGGTAACCCTGCCTGCGCTATCGGTATACGCTGCCAGGGTACCAGTGACGGGTGACAGGTGAGTGACTGAAGGCAAATCAGTTGGCCCATAGTGATCAATTATATGAATTGACCACTTTGGTTTCCAGGGAGAACCGCGTGGAGGTCGACCTGATAGGGTATATTGCTAGCAATGGGGTTGTTAAATCTCAATATTAACAATCCCTTTCCCTCCTGTTGCATTGGTTTGGCCATTTGGAGAGGATGGATGAAAGAAGAATTACGAGATTTATCGAGCAAGAATGAATGGAGATGTCGGTAGGGGCCGCCCTAGACGGACGTATGACGGGCGAGCGTGTATGGAAAGATTGATGAATGTGGAAGAAGCAAAAGAGGTTTGTTTGAATCGAAGTATTTGGCGTTCCATTGTTTCTGCTTACCCTAATGGGAGACAGGCGTGACAGATATGTATGTATTTACATTCACATACTAAATTGACATACTATATATATATACACTGTAATTTCTATAAAAAAAAAATAGAATGAGTATCTAGGACGTTCCTATTGTTAGCATTATCTTACAAACTACTTACAACTATTATAAGTTCTAAAAATACTACGTATTTCTCTTTTCATATTATTGCCTTTATAGCGCTTAATAAAGATTTATTATCATAGTACACAAATAAATAAATATGTTTATGAACTCTTAATTTTTTAACCATTTCACGCGAAGTGTTGTAAATGAATGAGTGGATCGTAAACCGTGGCGCCCTTCAGCGGTTGTAACCTGAAACTTTATGACTTCTTACTTAATTCCGACTTGAGACACCGATTGCGCACACAACCGAAGATACTATTATGTGCAATTATATAATTTCTTTTTATGGAAAAAAAAATATCCATATCTTGAAATTCTTATATTAATAATATATTTTTTTACAATTAAAATTTGTTTGATCCTGGACCAAGTCGTGGACATATAATTTTGACTAAACATGAAATTACCTCATAAAAGATTCTATATCGAATTAAATGATTCTATTTTAACCGAAAAGATTTAATTAACGTGTTGTAAAAATGTAAGAAAGATTGAATATGGGTTTCTGTGGAATAAAATTTTTATTTTCGCAACGCAATGTTTAACACAGCATGTCATCTGAGTGCGGTGTCTGACAACAATTGAGAATTGACCCCAGAAAAAAAAAACACCAGAATATCACTGGCTGACACGTGTGACTTCCGATTTCATTGGAATACTGAAAAAAAAAAGCAGATGT